ATAGCTTGTGAAAAATACCAGTTCCAAGTTGAGATTGTGTGTAATATTTTACTACAAATTTCAAGTTCTGATATGAGGTGGTTCTGACAACTTAACCTTCTAAAATCTACAAAATATTGAGTTTTTTGCTTCAGCTCTTAGTCCTTTTGTCCGAGGACAAACTATTGTTGGTTGTTCTGTAACCTTTTCCAAACCCTGCTTCTGGTCTCATTGAATGGAAAATATTTTTAGAAGACTTTTTGTGTTGAATTGTCTATTAATATATAAAATAAATCCAGACAATATCTTCAGAAACTGTATTATAAAAATCTTGTCTTTCCAAATATTGTAGACTTGCTTGGGAGATTTTGGATAATTATGTTTCAGTATCTGCATAATGAGCTACATCGCCACCTTTCTTTGTGTCATTAGAAAGGTCCACCATCGTATAGCTGTAATATTGCTATGTGCGTTTTTTAATTACAAACAAAAGCAAAACTCCAGCCCAAAACGCTGAAGACCCCCCCCCCCCCCAGTTGCATCTGTCACTGTTTTCTGACTTAGACCATTGTCTACAGTTGTGTGGTTTTCAATCACTGATACAGCACACAGTGGGAAGTGTCAGTTTGTTGACAAGATAAGACACACTCTGAATCCCCATCTGTGTGATGAGAAAGAAACTGGAAAATATATAGTTCACACATTATCTCTTTTGTGTCATTTCACATTCATAATTTCCACATCTTTTCTTGAATTTGTAATATTTCTTCTTTTTCATATTATATGACATTCCAGCACGCACATGGATTGTCTGACAGTCAGTTTAGTTATCCAAAACAGTATTCTTTTAATTATTTATTTTATTGTACATTGAATTTTGAAAATTTGCAATTCTGATTGGACAATCAAAGGTTTCAAATCACATTAACCACCTCTGATTAAAACAGCACTGAAGAAGTTATTGAAAAAAGTACTTCATCACTGTCATTAAATATTTTGAAATGATGATATGTGCGATAATATCTTTCAAAAATGCAGAGTAACACTAACTACAATATTCCAAGTGTGTGTAACAATAACATTTCGACAGAAACAAAGTCATCAAAGAGTGTGTATTTCAATGTCTTTGGACAACAAAAGAGCTTGCAATCTGACACTTTTCCGAAGCCAACAGTGATGTCATTTCTTTTGTGTCACAATGAGCCTTCAGCTCAATATTGAATTTAGCACTGTTAAATCGCCAAGTTTCTTAGCTCAGCATTGAAAACACAGCTCATTCATGTTATAAGTAAGGACAAGTATCAATCTTGATTAAACAAATTGGCAATTTTTAGCAAGGGTGTCTTTGAAAATCAAAAATCAATATCCTCACACAGTTTTAATATATACAATTCAAAAGAAGTTAAAGAACAGCTGATTCTTTCATATTTCTATAGTTAATCTGTCATAAATGACCCAATTCCTTCATATTTCTATAGTAAATCTGTCATAAATGACCCGATTCTTTCATATTTCTATAGTTAATCTGTCATAAATGATACAATTCCTTCATATTTCTATAGTAAATCTGTCATAAATGACCAGATTCTTTCATATTTCTATAGTTAATCTGTCATAAATGACCCCATTCTTTCATATTACTATAGTTAATCTGTCATAAATGACCCAATTCCTTCATATTTCTATAGTAAATCTGTCATAAATGACCCGATTCTTTCATATTTCTATAGTTAATCTGTCATAAATGACCCAATTCCTTCATATTTCTATAGTAAATCTGTCATAAATGACCAGATTCTTTCATATTTCTATAGTTAATCTGTCATAAATGACCCCATTCTTTCATATTTCTATAGTTAATCTGTCATAAATGACCCCATTCTTTCATATTTCTATAGTTAATCTTTCATATTACTATAGTTAATCTGTCATAAATGACCCGATTCTTTCATATTTCTATAGTTAATCTGTCATAAATGACCCAATTCTTTCATATTTTTATAGTTAATCTGTCATAAATGACCCGATTCTTTCATATTTTTATAGTTAATCTGTCATAAATGACCCGATTCTTTCATATTTCTATAGTTAATCTGTCATAAATGACCCGATTCTTTCATATTTCTATAGTTAATCTGTCATAAATGACCCGATTCTTTCATATTTTTATAGTTAATCTGTCATAAATGACCCGATTCTTTCATATTACTATAGTTAATCTGTCATTAATGACCCCATTCTTTCATATTACTATAGTTAATCTGTCATAAATGACCCCATTCTTTCATATTACTATAGTTAATCTGTCATAAATGACCCGATTCTTTCATATTTCTATAGTTAATCTTTCATATTACTATAGTTAATCTGTCATAAATGACCCAATTCTTTCATATTTCTATAGTAAATCTGTCATAAATGACCTGATTCTTTCATGTTTCTATAGTTAATCTGTCATAAATGACCCGATTCTTTCATATTACTGTAGTTAATCTGTCATAAATGACCCAATTCTTTCATATTACTATAGTTAATCTGTCATAAATGACCCGATTCTTTCATATTACTATAGTTAATCTGTCATTAATGACCCCATTCTTTCATATTACTATAGTTAATCTGTCATAAATGACCCCATTCTTTTATATTACTATAGTTAATCTGTCATAAATGACCCGATTCTTCATATTACTATAGTTAATCTGTCATAAATGACCCGATTCTTTCATATTTCTATAGTTAATCTGTCATAAATGACCTGATTCTTTCATATTACTATTATTAATCTGTCATAAATGACCCGATTCTTTCATATTACTATAGTTAATATGTCATAAATCACCCGATTCTTTCATATTACTATTATAAATCTGTCATAAATGACCCGATTCTTTCATATTACTATAGTTAATCTGTCATAAATGACCCGATTCTTTCATATTACTATAGTTAATCTGTCATAAATGACCAGATTCTTTCATATTTCTATAGTTAATCTGTCATAAATGACCCGATTCTTTCATATTACTATAGTTAATCTGTCATAAATGACCCCATTCTTTCATATTACTATAGTTAATCTGTCATAAATGACCCCATTCTTTCATATTACTATAGTTTATCTGTCATAAATGACCCCATTCTTTCATATTACTAAAGTTAATCTGTCATAAATGACCCCATTCTTTCATATTACTATAGTTAATCCGTCATAAATGAACCAATTCTTTCATATTACTATAGTTAATCTGTCATAAATGACCCCATTCTTTCATATTACTATTATTAATCTGTCAAATCATTGACTATAGTAATATAAAAGTATAAGGCGTTCTGGAGCCTCTTTTGAGCAGTTTACAATTGAGATTTTCCACACAAATATAGTTATAATACCTATGTACCATGACAATACTCAGATCAGCTTTCATTCCTGTGGTTTGTGTGTTAAGCCGATGTTCAGACATAACGCTGTTGAGAAATTTGAAGGGCAGAGGGGTAGCCTAGTGGTTAAAGCGTTCGCCCGTCATGGCTCAGGCCCGGGTTCGATTCCCCACATGGGTACAGTGTGTGAAGCCCATTCCTGGTGTCCCTTGCCGTGATATTACTGGAATATTGCTAAAAGCAGCGTAAAACAATACTCACTCACTCACTAAGGAATTTGATAAAACATGGATTATGACAAATCATTTCAAACCTTACTTACCATGTACTTTGAATCAATATTTTTCAGTTGATATCTGGAACGAAATATTTCAAATTAATGATGGCTTTATATTTGTAAATTATTATTAACAAATTTTAAAAAAATATATAAAAAATTATAAAAAATAATATGACCTATATAGATTTCAAACTGCTGAATTATTAATTTATCAATGAGAATAAGAAAATGTCCTTTTAAAAAAAAAAATTCTTGTAAAAATGATATGGTATTAAAACTTCATTATAGCATCATATATCATATATACTTAGAAAATGTTATATGTAGTCTCTTTTCGAACAATCGTTGATACCAGTTTTATTGGGTTTTTTAAAATATTGAAATATTTATTTTGAAATATGACCAACACATTGTGGCACAACAGATCAGAGTGACAGCTGATTGTTGTCAGTTGGTTACTTCCCTGTTAGCATGAGACCCACAAGAAACAGGATATATACATTTGTTCAAATGGTTCAGATTTTGTCTTGATTTGTTTCAGATATTTGGACCCTTAGATGTCCTTTGGAAAGAAACATGCCAATTTCCCTGTTTCTGTTTGTGTAAACTTTCCAAGACTTTAGTGTTGATACTTGTACTGGTGCTGTGGTGGACGCTGTGGTGGGCGATGGTCCTAATTGTGCCACGACAGGAAGTGGCAGTTGGGACATCTGGTAGACATTGTGGCCGCTGTGAGTATGGATGGGGTGAGTCCAAATTTACTACCCGGGTACCCACCCCCTGTTACCTGACCCTACCCGGGTACCCCCCCCCCTATTACCCGACCCTACCCGGGTACCCCCCCCCCCCAATTTTCCGACCCTACCTGGGTACCCCCCCCCCCCCCCCCCCCCCCCCCCCCCCTATTTTCCGACCCTACCCGGGTACCCATCCCCCAATTACCCGACCCTACCTGGGTACCCACTGGAGGTCTCAAGGGATAGGTACAAAATGTCCAATTGAGAAACATTTGACCATACTCCTGTCAAAATGTATTTAAATACACATATTAAATGATCTGGTCATGCATACACTGAAGTTGACAGAAGTTTTATCTTTATGCAAACATATAAAGTCAGAAGGAATGTGTGGATTGTCAGAAAGAAATGTGAACATTTGTGTAACCATAAAGTTCTAGATAATTTTTGTCATTAAACAATATATCACGTGACTAACCACGGGTCCGGGTAGTCCTGTGGGTACCTGGGTCCTACTCAGTACCCACCCGACCAGAGTTACAATTTCCAGCTCTAATACAGCCCCCTCCCCGTGGGGATTCTCACAGCCCCCTCCCTGTGGGGATTCCAACAGCTCCCTCCCCATGGGGATTCCAACAGCCCCCTCCCTGTGGGGATTCTCACAGCCCCCTCCCCATGGGGATTCTCACAGCCCCCTCCCCATGGGGATTCCAACAGCCCCCTCCCTGTGGGGATTCTCACAGCCCCTCCCCATGGGGATTCTCACAGCCCCCTCCCTGTGGGGATTCTCACAGCTCCCTTCCCCATGGGGATTCTCACAGCTCCCTCCCTTTGGGGATTCCCACAGCCCCCTTCCCCATGGGGATTCTCACAGCTCCCTCCCTGTGGGGATTCCAACAGCCCCCTCCCTGTGGGGATTCCAACAGCTCCCTCCCCATGGGGATTCCAACAGCCCCCTTCCCCATGGGGATTCCCACAGCCCCCTCCCCATGGGGATTCCCACAGCCCCCTTTCCCCTGGGGATTCCCACAGCCCCCTTCCCCATGGGGATTCCCACAGGCCTCCTCCCCGTGTGGATTCCCACAGCCCCCTTCCCCATGGGGATTCCCACAGCCCCCTTCCCCATGGGGATTCCCACAGCCCCCTTCCCCATGGGGATTCCCACAGCCCCCTTCCCCATGGGGATTCCAACAGCCCCCTCCCCGTGTGGATTCCAACAGCCCCCTCCCCGTGTGGATTCCAACAGCCGCCTCCCCATGGGGATTTCCAAAGGCCCCTCCCCGTGTGGATTCCCACAGGCCCCTCCCCGTGTGGATTCCCACAGGCCCCTCCCCGTGGGGATTCCAACAGCTCCCTCCCCATGGGGATTCCCACAGGCCCCTCCCCGTGTGGATTCCAACAGCTCCCTCCCCGTGTGGATTCCCACAGCCCCCTCCCGATGGGGATTCCCACAGCCCCCTCCCCATGGGGATTCCCACAGGCCCCTCCCCGTGGGGATTCCAGGGTAAAACATGTCCCCAGTATACCCGAGTGTCATCAGATCTTGACGGCAAGGGCTGTTGCTCATGTTTTCAACCACTGGTTTTCCAACAGGATATTGTTCACTGTACATACCCAGCATGACTCATCCCCCTTCTTCCTGACGTCACTCTCCCACCGCCTCTTTGGTAGTGGTAGAATGTACACCCAGAGAGCAGAGGTCCGGGGTTCAATCCCCGTCCGCGTCAAACCAAAAAACAATGGTACTTGTTGTTACCCTGCATGGCGCTTGGCATTAAGGGTCTAGAACAAGGACTGGTCGGCTCGGAGTCAGCATACAGTGTCTGAGAGAGGTATTCATGTTAAACTGTGGCATCTAAGTGAGCTAGCACTAATAAATTGGCATTAATCCGGACCAGACACACACGCATGCACGCACGCATGCACGCACACAAACACAAACACAAACACAAACACAAACACAAACACACACACACACACACACGTGCAGGAACATCGCTATGTAAGTGCAATAAAGCTGGATGTGACGTTTAAGCCCATTTCACCTCACCTCACCTCACCTCACCTCACCTCACCTCAACTCACCTCACCTCAACTCACCTCACCTCACCTCACTTGTACGGGACCATGGGGTAGTGTAGTGTAGTGGCACAATGTGTAAAGCTAATATTTTAGTGTCCCCCCGCCATGACATTGATGGAATAATGCTAAAAGTGGCATAAAACAATATTCTCACCTACTTTCTGATCTACCAAGATTTGCTGGCATTAGACAAAAAGTAAGTGAGTAAGTTTAAGGCAAGAGTTTGATCCTCGGTTTGACAGATCTATACATGTGCTCGTGGTGAACGTGTAAGATCTGCATCACTTTGGTTTTCCTCCACCCACCTTAAGTAAGCTGACATGCTGTGTCATCGTTGAAGAACTGGTCCAAATGACATCAAGTATCTCAATCTTTGACTCATCTCGCACTCACTGAGCTAAATCACACAACAATCTCACTCACTCACTCACTCACTCACTCACTCATATATTCTCACTCACTCATTCACTCACTCACTCACTCACTCACTCACTGAGCTTGGATTGGATAGTCAGGCTTGGTGACTTGGTTGATTTGCATGTCATTGTACTTGACAACGATGATCCTTGCACACAATATCAATCACTAGATTGTCTGGTCCAGATTATTTACAGACTGCCCTCATATCAGTTCAACACTCACTCACTCACTCACTCACTCACTCACCCACTCAACCACCCACTCACTCACTCACTCACTCACTGATTCTGAACTTTTCCCAGTTTCTCACCCACTCACTCACTCACTCACTCACTCACTCACTCACTCACTCACTCACTCACTCACTCACTCACTCACTCACTCACACCAATCCCAGGGACTCACTATCACTATAACATATGTTTTTCTTGCACATTCTGTCAGTTTGGTGACACAGAGCTACGCCATCAGACACATCTTTTCACATTTTCCACCTCATGCAAATCATCGGATCTGATTGCAAGTGGTCCAACCTGTCTCCTACTCACTGGTTCTGTTCACTGAGACAATTACCTCATCCAGCTACAGGTACTCCAATGATTCATGATTCACGATTCCAATTCACATCCCAGACAGATTCAGATAATTCATGGCAGCCCGACACGCACACTAATGAGGTTAATGATATCTCAAAATCTCCTTCAACTTTCAATCCCAATTTGTCCCAAACCCTTAAATAATCTCTTGTTAAAACAGATCTAGTGACTGCAAATAAAATTCAAATCTCCCTAAAATTGGATCTTGTAGTTCAGTGCAGACCATTATTGTCCGCGAGCAAATTAAATGTCACATTGGGTGTATCAAAACCTATTGCTATAGATACAGCTATTGTAAGCTTTGCAAATGGCCGACATGGTTGAACTTTTATGAACTCCCAAACTAAAGAGTTCCATATTTTCTGAATCAGTGTGTTCCACGTGATCTCCCCTGTACAAAAGTGTGTGTGGCCCAGTGGGCTGTGTTGATGTAGCACATGGGGGAGGATTAGCCGTAGCTGAACATTTCTAATTGGGCAGAATGGACGACTTATTGGGGAATGTGCAGATCAGTGGGTGATTGAAGAAAAATAATGTCATATATACCTGTACTGGTTGTGCCTTTATGTGGGTTGTTTATCTGGTAAATTGGGGGGGTTGTATCAAAATGTGTTTTTTTTATATCAAGACATCAATTTTTCATTTACAAATAAATGAATATTGATCGTGATCATGTCATTTTTTTGTGTTTTTCATTTATTTCAATTTTCATATAATTTTGAATTTGAAATATGGTTTTAGTATAACAGTAAATTTATATGAAATGCTAAGTTTTATATTGCAGACAGATGTTTAAATTTTTTCATATGTACTACTTAAAAGAGGTTAAAGGACACGCATTTTTCTTCACCTGACTATAGATAATCTGTTATGGCTTGTGGGTATTGCACCTAGTTATAGGTGTTTTTAACTTGTCTGGGGTGGAATACAAGCATTATGAAGGATTGTGGATAGTGAAGTATTCCACATGGGTTTGTAGGCTCTGTTGATCCAAACACTTGTCCAGGAGTCGACTGAACTGAGAGTCCGGTGGTTGCCTTGGTGATTGTGTGGTGTGGGTTGGTGTTCATGCTATTGACCACTAGTTGTCCTGGTTAAGACTGGATCATGTACTGGCATCTGTGAGCAGGTTTAAATCAAAATGAAAAACAAATTTGGGCAACAATGTTTTCATGAATGAATGCATACAGTCACACATGCACTCACACACAAAGACACACTCACACAGAGACAGACAGATGGACACACACACATACCATACTCAGACACACACACATGCTCACACACACAAAGACACACTCACACAGAGACAGACAGATGGACACACACACATACCATACTCAGACACACACACATGCTCACACATACATAGACACACTCACACAGAGACAGACAGATGGACACACACACATACCATACTCAGACACACACATATGCTCACACATACATAGACACACTCACACAGAGACAGACAGATGGACACACATACATACATATATATACACACACACATGCACAAAGATTTTGTAGAATTTGAAAGATGGGATGAAATGTGTTGTTGACACAATCAGGTGTTTGTACAAATTTATAATGGTAAGGGACAATTTCAAACATTAACAAATTCAAAATTACTACTTTTTATTTCACATAGCAAACTTGAAATTATTTTTCCCTAATTTTCCTTGAAACACAAAATGATCGGAAAAGAGAAAAACAAAAGATTTGTAAACTAATAATGAAACAACATCCCAACCAGTTTTGAGACGCCCCCCATGTATGTATGGAGCCTTATTTTCTGCTTGACTAGAACTGGCCATCAGTCAAGGCAGAAACATGTCTATTTCTTCTGTGCTTGATTTCAACAGCGTCACGCTTGTCAAACTCTAATCACTAGAAATTTATGTGCTATGGTAATTTTACCTTCTATGATGGAACATGTTTTTCCATGCTAATTTTTTAACTGCATGAAAATACTTGACGGTCCCTTTATAGATCATTAATGGTTCATATGTATTATTTACAAAATAACTTTGGAATTCTTTTACGTTGAAAATTTGAACAAACTTTCTGGTTATATACTACTGGAACAAAGTTAAGCACTTCGTGCTGTTTATTTCAATGTAAGTAGCTACGTTGTAAAATCATATACTGTATCAGTTTTCAGATGAAACACACTTGTTTCAGTTTACAAATTACATATTTTAAGTTGTAGCAGGATCACTTGGGGTACATGGAGTTTTATGGGTTTTATGGGTCTCGCGTCAGGTTTTATGCTATGAGACGGAGGTGGGTGGAATAAAACCCAACCCAGGATTAATAAAACCCCATATACCCTGGGTGATCCTGCTACAATGAATTTATAAACCTACTGGCTGTTTGTGTAACTCGATATGGAGTTTTTGAAATTGTGGAAACACCTCGTAGGAGGTATTACAACGATTGTAACACCTCGCAGGAGGGCTTACAATCATTGTAAACCCTTGATAGAACAAAAACTACGAACAGCCTACGAGACGCACGTGCTGAGGTCACCGGTTTCATTGAACCGAGTTCACGACTGCAGGCGATATTTCATCTCCGATACAGGTTATACATTTGAGAGTTTTTATTACAGGTATTTAATTAAAAACTTTGTCTATGCGGTGAGTCGGTTTATAAGTTGGACAAACCATGTCTCCTCGAGATTACTAGAGATTGTAAACCCTCACATTCAGGAACGTCCCTCATGTGAGGGTTTACAATCTCTAGTAATCCCTCGGAGACATGGTTTCTCCTACATTTATCTTACCGACATGTGAAGTATGGCATTGTAAAAGAAATAAAACAAATTTAAAATTGATAGAAAACAGCTGTTTGATTGCGCAGAGGTAAACTTGTGCTCCGCATTTGACTTTCATTGACTCAGAAAAAGAGTGACGCTTTTTGCTTTGAAGTGAGGTATATGGGATTTATTCTGCCTCTCGGAAACCCACGTGTAGCCTGACTTGATCATGGTGGGGTATAAGAGATTTATTCTCTCGCTGAGATATTTATTTCCCTCCAAGGCGGGATATATAGTATTTTATCAACATCTCCTCATTCTGATATGGAGGTATGATAATCCTATTTATATTGAAATAGGAAATCTATTATCAAAAGACATGTTTAATAACTGTTGCATGACAATAGTTAATGATGACCCAGCCCTGTGCTGACACTCCTTTGGATCCATCATGTGATCTGTCCGGTTCTTTGCAGGTGTCGTATGATGTGGGATGTTCTTGGAGAACATGTTTTCAATATCAATGACAGTTATCAAAATAAAGTCTCTGTCAATGTGTTTTTCTAAAACATCTGTGGATGTTGGGAATACCTACAAATAAAGGACTGGTGCTTTTTCCAGTTTATATTTGTCTGCTCACTCACTCACT